TATAAAAATGAAATAAATTAGAAGTATTTTAAAAATCAAAAAATAGATTGCTTAAGTTTTTAATAAAAAAAAAAAACATAAGTATAAACTACATACTCTTCTTTCACTCATCACTTCTTCTATAGACCGGGTCCTTCATGGATATGTGCGATTTTGGCTCTCCACAACTTCCTATCTGTTGTAGCTCTTAGTAAGGTTGGTCTTTTCACCAGCACACCCAGAGTACCTGTTCTACCATCTGTTTCTTCTTCTAGATAACCTGTCATTTCAGAACGTGTTCACTCATGTCTCTCCACGACTTCCTATCCTTTGTAGTACTTAGTAAGGTTTGTCTTTTCACTCCTAGTCCCAGATCTGCCATTCATCTGCACAAGGGTGTTAGGCAGATCCTTTGGTGTATCTCTCCATCTTTCTTTCCTTCAATGCCATCACATACTATTTTTCTACTCTTTGTAATCTACTTAACCTATTTTCACTTGACCTCTTCTGTCACTTGATCAATCTCTCTTTCTTTCTTTCTTTCTTTCTTTCTCCATATATATATTGATCAGTCAGTCTTTCTCTCTCCCTATATGCAGCCTTTTTATTTTACAATCTTTTGCTATCACCGAGGTAACTTCATGATTCCATCCTCATAGATTTTGGCATCTTTCTTGTTTTTTACATGCTTCCAATGAATTGAAGTTCTTACCATTAAGAAAATTGTAGAGATTTAAATAAATGCTAGTCCAAAGGTGCAAGGTCAGTTGTGTATGGTTTGTGTGGTGGGGTATCCCAAATAAGTTATAACAATTTCTATCAGATCTGTAAAAAGACATGAGGTTTGGTGTTGTCCTAATGAAATATGACATTCTTTTAATTCTGGTTGCTTTTCATCAAATACTACCTTTAATCTGTCCCATTGGGAACAATACTTGTTTTAATTTGACATCTGATTTTGTGGAAAGAGCTTCTGACACACATTGCTCTTCCAAATCCCACTAAATACACAGCAACACTTACATTGAATGCAGACTATATTTTTGAGTAGTTAGCCATAGCTTATATTGTTTTTCCCAGAACTTTTTACACTTCATATTGTTAACAATTCATTTTATTTTTAAATGAGTGATTTTGTTTTGTTTGAACTGTGAATCACAGATGATCAATGCAGATCATTCATTTTTTTTCCCTTCATGGCAATTCACAGATGCTTTACACTGCTCATACAAGATACATGGAGTATCTCTGAAATGTTGAGGGTTGTGTGAGCTGTGGCTAATTTTCATTTAGCATTCTGATTTGGTCATCATCAATAACTGCAGCCTTGTTGGAACATTATTTGTCTTACAAATCTAATTTTCACTTCTGAACCCAGTGCAAAATATATACAAACACTTCTTGCAGCTATGGCACCATCTCCATAAATGGCACATATCATTTTTACTGTTTGTAGAGTGTCTTTTCCTCACCAGAAATAAAAGAGAATAAAATGACAAAAAAATATCTCATTTCTATCCATTTTCACGTTTAATGTGAAAACATTTTGCATTCATAATCTACTCATGAATTTTAAACATAAAGATGTGTTGAAATCTCACCTGTCGGAATATGTGTATATGTCAGTCATACGAGAAACAAAATTATGTATACATCAATTGAAAAACCTTCCATTTCAACCATTACATATATGCATGCATACAAGGAGGGGGTGAAAATTATCAGACTAATCCAATTCTCAAAATCAATATGATATTGACCAAACATAATAACACTGATCTTTATATCTGGGCACTTGGCTGAGTGGTTAGAACATTCACTTTCTGACCATGAGACCTGGGTTTGAATCTCACCATGGCTGATTTATCAGGAAGGGGACTTCCTGATGTTATCAAAATGGGTTGAGGTTGATCCCAGCATGCGGCACCTTTGGAAAGTGGCTGAAAAACTATACCACAGGTTGACCCAAGCCTTGTGAGTGAAATTGGGTAGGCAGAACTCTTGAGGGCCATCAATAGCTGTGCTGGCACAAAACTGCAAGTCATCATGGCCGAGCATGCTGGCTTTGTTCAAATTGTTGATCACGCTAGATAACATGCTCTCTCCCAGAAACTGTAACTAAGGCCTGCTCAGTAAAGTTGCAGTATAAACCACAGGTAGGCTGTGTGGGTGTTGAGCAAACCCAAATGTTCCTCAGCGGGCATCTGTAATAGGGATTGGCTAGCTGCCCTGGTAGATGGGTATCCTCGAATATGAGTGGCCAGCTATTATGTGTGTGTGTGTGTGAAAATGATGGGACAAAGTAGAAAATTTATTAATGCCATGTTTCACCAGAATGTCTGCTCTCTTTGGATTCCTCAGGTTAGAATGATGAAATGCATTGTTAATAAATTTTCCACTTTGTCTCATCACATTCACTTTTGTTTCAGATACTATTATGCATCCTACACACACACACACACACACACACATATATACATATACATATATATATATATATATATATATATATATATATATAGTGCTTATGAAGAAAAGCATCTGTATATCTTAAGATTTGGTGAAATTTAATAGTGGACAAATTATTAGAAAATATTCTGTTAATCAATTTCAGACAAAATAAAAATGTCCTTTTATTGAAAATCATTAATCCTTATGATTGTGATTCTTATTTTTCATGTTTCATAAAATTGTTTTTTTTATACTTGTATAAACATATATTTTGAACTTACTGTAGTGGCCCTGTCCATTAAATAATAGTTTAGCAGACTATTATTTTTTATAGAAAGCGTATCACTGCTCCAACTTCCTGGGGTTGACCATTGAGGTAAGTTACAATACAAAACAAAGGAAGTCAATTTTGATTGGCTGAGCCAGTGTGAGAATGATAGATACAGAAAGAGGCTTTTTTGAATTGAATCTAAATGATCATATAATGTAGACATGTTTCCTTCATGTCTGAGAAGTGGCTTCCCACTGGGGTGGGAGATCAAACCCACTGAATAGTTAGGAATGTACACATTGACGTGTTTAATAAAATAGTAAAGTTTAAAATTCCCTTTGTTGAAATAATTTTATCTTCAAACCAAAACAACTAGCCATCACCGGCTGAGAGAAGAGAGACAAGAGAGAGAAGATGCAACATTGTATTAATTGGTGCAATGACCAAGAGACCCCCAGCATGAGTGTGCTATACATGTGGTCTTTCACAATATATCCAAATCAACATTCATGAATTTTGAAACTCCTGAACGATTTTCAGCTCAATTAAATTCTTAATTATAGAACTGTATTGTTGTTATTTATATTTAATGGGAAAGATGAAAACAAAATTTTCACATTCCTTATTAAAAAATAGGGGTTTAAGTCTAGAAAACCTAATCTGCATAGAAGAGCCAAAATCTACAAAAAGAGCTTGAATTTTGAAATTTTTTTTTGAAGGATTTTCAGTACCAAAAATTGACTCACCACTCAAAATGTCAGGAGTAGTAGTCTAGATCATGATTTTCTGATTACTACAAGGATACTTATATTAAAAATTGATATTTGATGGATGGAATATAGTGCCAGAAGTAGATAATGATTAATGTAATGTTTGAAAGGGACCGAATATGTTTTAAATATCATTCCAAGATAAATTTTCTTAAATTTTGTAGAAATAAACTGTTTTAATATTTACACTAAAGAGAGAAAAAAAATATTGTCTCAGAATTTTTTGTTATTGTTATTCAGAGTTGGGGAGTGTGTTCAGAAAAAAAAAAGGCAAAATAAAATGTAAAAAATTGTGTTAATTTGATTTATTTTGTGCTGTCAGGTCCCAAAATTCACTTAATATAGGTTACATTTCAAGTAAACCTGTCTGTTTCTTGTAACACTCAATGGGATTCCACCAACTTTCCTAACAAAAACGGTCAGAAAAACATAACTGATCATCTAAAAACAAATTTGATGTGTGATTATTGATTAAATTCAAACAATCATTGCTCTACAAATACTTGGACTTAGGACAAAGTTAGAAATCAAAGTTCTGAAATCATGTGATTGTCTATTTTCAGACTTGTCTGATAGTAATATAAGTGACATTATTATTACACCAGAATATTTTTCTTACTCATTTCACCCCAAGCAAGGCAATAATGCCACTAAGATGCAGGGGGTTACTAGAGTAAAAGAGAATGAGAAGACATTAGTGAGGAGAAAGTATTCTTTTAAGAATAGGATTCATGATCTTGATGTTGTATTTAAATTTTTGAAGATTGCATTGAAGCAAGAAACCTGAAGAGAGTTCCACAGATGAGAAGTGCTCATTGAGAATATATATGTACACTTCTTGGGATTGGTCATGCCATGATAGCTTTGCTTGAACATATGCTATGAACCATTCTTTGGTGTTTTGTGGTAACTTCATATTTCTCATCAGTGATAATGGTCAGTATTCAAGTTTAGCTTTAAAAAAATCATGGTTTGCAGAAGCAGGCAGACATGCCTTTCTCACAATTTTTGACCCTTTTACTTGACTCTGCACTTGACTTAGCTAAACTTATAAAAATATCTGAATATTGAACTCTTAGTCATAGTAATTTTATTCTTGTTATGTTTGAATGTAATTGTAGATAACACATGGTTGAACTGTTTGAGATTGATCATATTGAGAGAGAAGAATTTGGTAGTGATTTCAACATAGTCTGTGGCCTATTTCCAAGGTAGTGTATACAGCCCATAGATGTGATGGCAATGGTAGCATGCAGGAATTCAAGAATCTTTTAAGTGACATTCGTCCATTCTTATCCTATCTCATTAGTTCAATCAGTGGCTTAATGGGCAGCTTCTCACTGTTGATTATAATTGATGATTCACGAATGAATTTGTAAATTAAGTTCATTCAACACTGTTTCTTGCTGAATGTGATAAGGCTAGTGAATGAGATTATCGATGGCAAATCAGGGAAGGCCATAGCAAATGGCCAAACTGAGCTGACAAAGATGTCAGGTGTAATTAGAGATGTCCAGAGTGTAAGGATATCAGCAAGAAGGGAGGCAGTGGAATGAAAGTGAGAAAAAGAGCGTTTGGAATGACAAGAAGAAATGGAAAGTTGCAGAGAGGAAGAGAATGGAATTATGGGTAATACTGACAGTAAAAAGAAAAAGAGAGATTGGAAGAAAGATATTGGTAAAAAGAGACAGATCAAGTAATGGAGGAGAGTCTATTTTAGTCAGTGAAGGAAAAGTAAATAAATTTGAAAGAGCTGACGGTGAGAGAGAGAAAGAGAGAGAAAAACTAATAGTATGTGGTAGTGATTGATAAAAGGAATATATATATATATATATATATATATATATATATATATATATATATATATATGAAGTGTGAGAGAGAAATTAATTGATAGAGATTACTGACAATGAATTGAATGAGTGAATTTTTAAATGAAAGGACATATTAATGAAGATGAAGGAAAAGAATAATGTAGAACAATATGTACAATGGAAAAGTTGAAGAATGAAAGGAAAATAGATTGTTAAATAGAAGGTATGAATCAAGAAGTGAGGATGTCCATCATGAAGAGAGAGAGAGAGAGCGAGAGATAATTATGACTGAGAAGAAAAAAATCTGAAACTTTAGTGATTCAAGAAGAATTTGTGGTAGCCATGATGAATATGAGTGAAATGAAAGTAGAGGAAAAGGATCACTTTGTTGGTTAATAGATTTAGTGAGAGATAGAGATAAGTGAAAAAAATATGTGAATATACTTTTGTATATTCTTTCTTGAATTACAGTAGCTTTGATTGTTTCATTTTTCTTCACTTTTCTCTCTCTCTCTCTTAAATATAAAAAGACTGAAAGATATGAAACAAAGTTACAGAGACACAGACAAAAATGAAAGAATGATCAATGAAGTTAAGATTAGACAAATGTGATTGACAGAAAATAGAAGCAGAGACCTAGAGGTAAACAGCAATTGGTTAGATGTGAAGGTGCAGAGAAAAAGAAAATAAATTTGTGTTTAGTGGTGGTGGTGGGGGGGTGTTGGATGCAGCTGTTATGCATTGAAGAAAAAGTAAAAAGACAGTTAAACTGAAGGAATGTCCACTACAATCAAGAATATATCAATTTCAGTTAGCTAAGAGAGAATGAATAAAGACTGGTGTAACAAAATTGAAACCAGGCTTTCAATTTGATTTCGGTAGACATAAGGCAAAGAGAGGAAGAAAAATGTGGGGAAGATGTTTCAAACTAAGCAGAAAGAAAGAATAAGAAAGAAAGGAATTGATAGAAATTGAAAGAGAGAGAGAAAGAGAATAATAAGAACCAGGAATAAAAAGACAAAGAAAGAAAGAAAGAAAGAAACCAGAATATGCAAATAAATAGAAAGAGACCAGAATATTTTTTATGAAAATTAAGAGAAATAAAAGTGACAAGAATATTCAAATTAAAAGAAAGAGATCCAAAAATGCAAATTGAAAGAAAGAGACTGGAATATGCAAATAAAAAGAAGGAAAGAGATCAGAATATGCAAATAAATTGAAAGAGACCGGAATATTTTTTATGCAAATTAAAAGAAAGTGACTAGAATATGCAAATAAAAAGAATGAAAGCGACTGGAGTATGCAAATAAAAAGAAGGAAAGAGACCAGAATATGCAAATAAATAGAGAACAGAATATTTTTATGCAAATTAAAAGAAAGTGACTAGAATATGCAAATACATAGAAAGAGACCAGAATATTTTTTATGCAAATTAAATGAAAGTGACTAGAATATGCAAATTAAAAGAAAGAGACTAGAATATGCAAATAAAAAGTAGGAAAGTGACTAGAATATGCAAATAAATAGAAAGAGACCAGGATATTTTTTAGGCAAATTAAAAGAAAGTGACTAGAATATGCAAATAAAAAGAATGAAAGAGACTGGAATATGCAAATAAAAAGTAGGAAAGAGACCAGAATATGCAAATAAATAGAAAGAGACCAAAATATTTTTTTTGCAAATTAAAAGAAAGAAAGTGACTTGAATATGCAAATTAGAAGAAATAGACAAAAAAAAGAGACTGGAATATGCAAATAAAAAGAAAGAAAAATGGCCAATGTTAGTCAAGTAAAAATAAAAAGGGGGAAATATGAGCAGAATAGGGAAATTAAAATAAAGTAAGAAAACACAAAGATAAATATTTTTAGAAAAGATAAGCATATAAAGATTGAAAGAAAGGCTGGAAAATGTTTTAAAATGACCTGAAATAAAGAAATTGAACTTGATTTGCTGAATACATTTCTGTGATGTTAACCATTAGGCTGCTCTGCTTCTCTTTGCAAAACAATTTTTGATTCATTAGAAAAGTACTTTACTGTTTGTTTCTGGCTGTATTATACTTTTAGATTTGAATGTGGAAAATTCAGCATGCAGTCACGTACCATTCAATATTGATTATTGCAAGTATAGAACTCAATCAAGGTTACCTTTGAGCTTTTATTATTAGCACTAATATGCAGGGTGCGATGGTTAAATTGTCCTGATTTTATATTTCCAATTTCACACATACACGTTGTTTTTGGTTTTGTTGACTACAAAGTATAGTAGGATCAGTTGGGCGCCGTCTGTGAGAAAAAGAGCACCATGATACAATTCACTCTATCAGAAATTTGGAAACTGTATACTTCAGAGTGTTTGGGTGTCAATCTGAGGACAGTGTAGAGGATTTGGAAAGAGCAGGATGAGTCTAATTGTGAAGGTACGACAGTTCAAAAAACTCACTCTGATTTTTCTGATGAGAAAAGAACTCCTGAATTTGTTCGTGAGGACCTCAGACTCAACACAGAGGCCTACATCAAGTGCCTTAAAGGGGTAGTGCTGCCCTGGGGCAATAGGGTAGCTCCTGGAAGAGCCTATGTCTGGCACCATGCCACACAAGAAGGAGAACCCCCGTCATGACTGTCAAACAATTTCTGTGACTACCTCACCACTTACATCTGGCCATTTAACTCCCCAGTCTGCAACCCCTTGATTATTATGTATAGGGTGCAGTTGAACGAGAGACCAACAAAACTCCTTGTAACAACAATGATGAACTGAAGCCAAGGATTATGATAGCATTTACCACTTAACAAGGAAACCATCCAGAAGAGATGCAGGAGATTCCAAAGTCATCTGGAGGCCATGGTTGAAGCCAATGGCGATTTTATTTGAATAAATTTACTCTTTAGTATTCCATGATATTTTTGTATCATTTTTGTAAATATAGCTGTTAAAATGAGATGCCAGTGTTATTTTCATTTTTGCATAATTTATGACAATTTATTAATGACAATTTATCCATTGCACCCAGTAGACAAAAAATTTTCATCTTAAGAGAATCAGAATTAAAATAGAAGAGAGTTGTGAAGTTTAGGAATATTATAGTATTTTAATTTAATATTATTTTTATATTTTATTTTTATATTTTATTATAGCATGATAATATTTTAATCATTTCACTCCAAGCAAGGTAATAAAGCCACTAAGATGCAAGAATATGAAAAAAGAAAAACATTAGATTAGGAGAGAAAACAATAAATGAACAGGAATTAAAATGACAAAAGATGACAATGTATTTAAATTTTTGAAGATCAAAGTTGACTGGAAAGGAAGAAGTCAAAAGAGAGTTCCACAAGTGAGAAGTGCAAGCGAAGAAACTATTAGCATAGAACTTATGTTTTTTTGTTTTTTTTAAAGTAAGGTTCACCCTTTACTAGGCCGAGAGACCACTAGAGATAGAGGGTTATGTCAGGAGGCAATTTATACAGATAGGAATGGAAGATAATGGTTAATCCTAGCCTTGAACAGTTTAAGATTGCAGTGATTAGGGGAAAATTCTCTTAGGAATTGTTCCACAGGCCAATGGCCCATGAGAAGAAGTTGTTAGCCATTTCAACTGTAAAATAATGAGACCAAACTGCCAATCTAGCAATATGCTTAAATTCTCATCAGAAAAATTACCATGAAAATATTTATAGTAAAGGTATAGGGTAGCTATGTTATGCTAGTGGAAAAATGATTGAAGCTAAGATGCCAGGTTAGGACTAATAACATTGCAGATTCTTTGGATTTTATCAAGAATCTTTACATCATTTTACATGATTATATTCTCTTTGTCAAATGATCCCTTGTAGGAATATTTAATGTATAACACACATCAAAGCTCAATAAAAAGTATTCATAGCTCACATGATACTAAGCTAACTTGTGCCAATAGAATTATTATATTTCATTATATTGTTATGTTGGTTGGGAACAATTTTGTTATCTTTATTGATTTTTTTTTTTCAAAAGTTTTGGTTATATATGTAACCAGTGGCATTCCTTAGGTGTCTGAAAACATTGTGTCTAACAAAATTCAGACAAGAAAGGGAGATATTGTTTGAAATTCTGTGTTATAATTTCATTATGAAGAAGAGACTTGAAACAGTAGAAATACGGTTCTACAGAAGGATACTGAGAATAGTATAGACTAGAGTGAACTGAACATTTGAGCAATGAGGAGTTTTTAAAGAAAACAGAGATAAAAAGACACTAAGAATCAGAAAGAGACAGCTAAACTTTCTAGGAAACATTAATAAGGGAGGCGGGCTTGCAGAGTTTGATACTCATAAGACATATTAATGTCAAGAGAGGCAGGCAGAAACATTGAGTAAACTACCTAATCTGAAAGTGCATTGGAATAGAAAAAGATACCTTCTAAATGCCAAAGAAAAGTATTAACAGGAATTTTTTTGGGAAAAAAAAGAAGTGCTGCTATGTAATGCCTGTCTTCATCTTGAGGTTCTTGACAAAATCCAAAGTAGGATCTGTAATGTAACCAATCCTGACTTGGCATCTTGACTTCAGTCACTTTCTCAGTGACATGGCATAACTCCCCTCTGTCTTTTCTACAAATATTTTCATGGCAACTGCTCTGACAAGCTTTCTTCCCTAGTGCCCTGACTACATGAATTTAAGCATGCTACTAGATTGGCATCTAGGTCCCAACCTTTTATTGTTGAAATAGATAAATGCAACTGCTACTTCTACTCAACAGTTTCTTTTCTTGCTCTACCTGTCTGTGGAATTTACTTCCTTCCCAGATAACTGCAATCTTCAAAAGTTTAAATGCAATGTCAATCACCATCTATCTTCTTGAATCCCATTCATCTTTTGTCTTTTCCTCTCTATTCTCAGTCTTTTCTTTCACTTTCAATCCCTGTAACTCTCTGATGAAGAGGAGATTCAAGGTCAATGAAAATATGGTTCAACAGAAGAATACCTTAAAGGGACACAGTACATAGAAGAAGATTAGTTGCTAAAATTTTCTGTGACTTAATGAGAGAAACCAAAAGTCTACAAACTCTAAGTTGGCGGATACTTCCAAAATCTCTGAATGGGTCATAGAAGTGCACATTAGTCGCTGTTGTGTAAATTTAACACCTGGGGGATGATCAAACTCCTATGACTTCGCATTGACTGCTGACTCCATATAATAGTCATTTGCAGGATGTCTAGACTCAACTCTGCTTCGCTGATATTGATTTTTAATTCAGCCAATTACATTTTAATTGCTGATTGTAATTCTTCCAGCTGAAGGACATTTGCTGGAGTTTTGTTTGTTCATTTTGTAGCAGTTGAAATGTGGTTGTGGGTGGGGAATTAAGTGGGCGATTCGTCTGGAAGAAAAATTGATTTGGTTTTCATGTGACATGTATCAGGAATTAAGTTTCTTTCGGATTTAATCTGTTGAAACGAGTGAGAATTAAAGAGAAAAAAAGACAATGATGGCAGGTGGGAGAGAGAAAAAGAAACGATAGAGAAGTAGAAAAAACAGAAAGAAAGAGTGAAAGAAGAAAGAAAAACAATAATAAAGATATAAAAAGCAGAGAGATAGAGAGAAAGTAAGAATAAAGATCTGAATAGAGAAACAGAGTGAGACAGGGAAAGTAAGAGTAAAGGTGTAAATGAGAAAGAGAAAGAATAAAAATGTAAAAGAAAGAAAATAATAAAAAAAAGAAAGAAAAATATGAATAAAAATGTAAAAGAAAAAGAAAAAATATGAATAAAAATATAAAGGAAAGAGAAAAAGTGAATAAAAATGTAAAAGAAAGAGAAAAAGAAGGAATACAAGTAAAAATGAACAAGAAAGCGAAAAGGAAGAAATACAAAAAATGTAAAAGAAAAATACAAATAAAAATGCAAAAGAAAGAGAAAAAGACAAGAACTAAGATTAAAAATGTAAAAGAAAGTGGTGAAAGAATATAATATAGATTTAAAAGAAAATGAGAGAAGTGAAGAATAAATAGGAAAAATATGAAAGAAACAGAAAAAATGGAAGAAGGAGAAAGAAAAAATAAGAAAGTTAAAGACTTACAAAGAAAGAAGAGAAGCAGAAAGAGAAAAATAAAAAGGATGATAAAAAAAGAAAGAAAAAATAAAGATGTGAACAAAACAAGAAGAAAGAGGAATGAAGAAGTAAAAGAAACATGGAGAGAGAGAGAGAAAAGAAAATGAAATATGTACAGTGATAGAAAGTGTAGTTGAAGAAATGAAGCTGTCGTTCATACCAATGGGCACTATGTGAATTACTGATTATGACTTTTAATATCCCTAAATATATCAATAGATTTAATGGTTATTTTCCTCAAATGGCTCATAACTTTTGCATGCCCTATTTTCAGCATCACCATGCATTCAGATCTGTATCTTCCCTTGTACTGTGAAAGGATGAATGTAACAATTTGGGCTACAGTCCTGAATATCCACAAATACTACTCATGAAAGTACATTGTTGAACACTTGAAGCTTCTTATGAGAAACAAGGTACAGCATCTCAAAATAAAAGGCTGCCGGTTGAGGGTGGGGGATCTAAATCTAGGACTGGTGCAAGGGTCTCATGGGCTCCTAACGAATTTATGATACTACATCTCAATTTTTGAAATACAAATTAGAGACATGTCATAATAGATCATTCCATCTTAAATAAATCAACAATGTTTTGTGGCAATTTTTAACATCAACTTGAGATTTGTCTTGTTAAAAAGTCGAATAATTTTAACACATTCAACATTATGGATAAAAAATAGTGAATTTTATAGAGTGTTTTTTGAGACTTAGCAAGAGCAAAACAAATTCAAAGATTTGACTGAAAAAAAGGACCCAGAATGACAGCAAAATATACAAAATATTTTCAT